AATGGAGCTTGGTAATCTCAAGAAACTTGAGAATGCGTTTTTCCACGAGCCACTATTGTTTTCAACATGGACAAGGATTAGCTCGTCTTGCTCAAGCACTGCATGTGAAAGAGCATATTGAAGTGCAACTGCGGATTCACGTGTCGGATCAGCTATCACCATGATCTTATAAAATGAATTTTGATAAAATGTAATGAACGTTTGCATATACGTTATTTATCGTAACTAAACTCAGTTCTATAGTTCCAATATGCATAACAACTGCATTAAAAGTCCGACTCTGGACTCAAACAAAGGAAGTTTGGGCATGGAGTTCGAATTTTTACCTCTATTTTCTTAGAACTTAAAAAATATTAAAAAAATCCTTAGTCTAATATGGACAAAAAACAAGAATTATAGCTTAGGGCCTTTAAATAAATATCTTTGTTTCCTGTTTTTTCAGTTTACAGGCTTTTATTAAATTGTATGTCACATAGATCAAGTTGTGGTTTACACACTAAACGACAAGTCTACAAGACTACAACTAGACATTGACATTTGACGTAACACAAAAGTCTCCTCACAACTACAAGAACCACTGATTCCCTTTTTGCCTTATCTTTTTCATTCTTCAATCAGTAATGGATGAGCTCCATGACGCCGCGATTGCGTATTACAACAACGGCTCAATTGAACAACAAACTTTGGCGCGGCAGTTTTTCCGGGTAATGGACATTAACGGTAACGGTCGGGTCAGCCTTCAAGAGTTTACCAACTTCTTGTGTCGAACAGCCGGCTTAGCTTGGGTTCATCCCGAGATGTTCACTGAGCTAGACCGAAACGGAGACGGTCAGCTCGACTTTTGGGAGGTCTTGACGCTTTACTACGTGGCTCGGACCCGGACGGTTGGCTGCGACACGTGCCGTCGGCTTCTCAATGGTTTATACTTCACGTGTGTCACGTGCTTCGATTCGCCATGCGACGGCGACACATTTGATCTCTGCGTCAAGTGTTATATGGGTCGGACCTATAGTCATCCACATAGTCACTTCTTGGATAGTTATGTTTTATTACGAGCTAAGCGTAGCCAGGTACGTTGTC